TTTCCTCTTTGGAGAAATATCTGTTCAGATCTTCTGCTCATTTTTTAATTGGATTGTTTGTTTAGTTGTTGTTGTTCAATTGTATGAATTCTTTATATATTTTGAATATTAACCTCTTATCAGATGTATCATAAGTGAATATCTTCTCCCATTCAATCAGTTGTCTTTTTGTTTTGTTGATGGTTTCCTTTGTGTACAGAAACTTTTTAGTGTGATGTAGTTCCATTTGTTTATTTTTTTCTTTTGTTTCCCATGCCCAAGAAGATATATCCAAAAAGAAATTACTGTTAGCAATATCAGAGAGATTACTGCCTATGTTTTCTTCTAGAAGTTTTATAGTTTTAGGTCTTATATTTAAGTCTTTAATCCATTTTGAGTCTATTCTTACATATGGTATAAGCAGGTGGTCCAGTTTCTTTTTTTTTGCTTGTATCTGTCCAGTTTTCCCAGCACATCTTTACCACATTGTATATTCTTGCCTCTTTTGTCATATATTAAGTGAGCATATAGATATGGATTTATTTCTGGGCTCTCTATTCTGTTCCATTGATCCATGTATCTGTTTTTATGCCAGTACCATGCTGTTTTGATTACTGTAGCCTTGTAGTATAGTTCGATATCAGGTAATGTGATACCTCCAACTTCGTACTTCTTTCTCAAGATTGCCATGGCTATTTGAGGTATTTTACGGTTCCATATAAATTTTAGGTGTATTTGCTCTAGCTCTCTGAAAAGTGCCATTGGTATTTTGATAAGGATTGAATTGAATTGAACTGCATAAATAATTTTAAAAAATTAATTTGAGAATTTTCTGGTCAGAAACATGGTGGAGTAAGAGATGTCCCCAGATCTCTCTCCTTGAAACGACAATAAGATGAACATCTAAAACTGAACAAAAAACACCCAACCTGCACACCAGCATGTCTGAGCGTGGGATCTGCGCATAAGAGCTACCACAGGTCAGAACCCCAGAGGTTGGGCGGTAGACTAGGAGAAACAAAGAAGCTGCCTTTTGCATCTAGAGCTCCTTGCAGGAGGAGGGAGAGGGAAGAAAGTGTGGTGGGTTCCCTGAAGAGCCTTGCTTGAGAGAGCTCTGAGCTTCACGCAGTGGCAGTGCCCAGAATTATGTGCAAATTAAGTTTAAATAACTTATATTTATTGTTAAAATCAATGCATTTGTCATCTTATTTTTTCTCTTTACTTTTTTCCTAGTTTTTCCTACTATTTTCTCTTTCCATTTTTTTCCTACTTTTTTCTTTGTTTTCCTACTTTATGAGAATGTGTTATTTATTTATCTTTCTTGCTAATCTTGAGGAAGATATTCTGTATTTTTTTTCTTGTAGTAGTTCCTTTAACGCATCCCAAATAATAACTTAAGATTACAATTTAATAATTCTAAAAGTCAAGTATAAATGTTATTCATTTATTCATTCATTTATTCACTAATTGATCTATCTATTAGTTTGTTCAAAAAACATTTATTGAGTATCTGATATGTACTAGGTGATTTGCTAGACACCTGGGAGGTAAATATAAATACGAACTATTCTTACTATCGATAATTTTATTGAATTGTGAGGAATTTCGTATATGAACCAATTTTTACAGTTACACAAAGTAAATATAATAAAAGAGAACAATTCTTTGAACAAATCAATTCCTTTCTTCTAATCATGGCTGTAACTACTTTATTTTAAGATGATTTAGAGGATGTGTCACTACTATGACATCCAAGGCACGTTTTAGTCTTCCTGAAGATTTTCTGTGAAGAATGATTAGGAAGTAGCAACATTTGAGGGGAATTGGGAGAATATCAAAAGGAGCTTGTATCACAAAGCCAAAATTTTCAGTGTGGTATGAGTAAGAAATAGCAAAAGGAGAGGACACTGTCCCTCCCATTTTGATCTGTCACAATCATAACTGTGCTTCAGGTCTAAAAGCATTTGTCCTGTCCTCTTAGAAGCTTTTCCTGAGACTAGGTTAGATACACAGATGCTCCTATGACATCCAGTATAACTCTGAGATTGCAATGACACGAGGAGAGGTCCTTGAATTAGTGTGTCAACATGTGTCTCCTTACTATTTCCAATCAAGTTACCTTTTGACAAATCTGATCTGTCCTCTCTTGGTGTCACTTTATGATGCAGAATCTTCGTGTGACTATATTCCCTATCAGATGATGATCTTAAAATAGTCAATTTTATTAATGAAAGGTACAATAAATATTTCCTTTGATAGAACACAGAAGAGAATTGATTTAGTGGCATTGCTTTCATGATGTTAATTTTTGCAAACATGCCAAAATTGCTGTCAGCTTGAGAAGAATATACAATATTTTAATTTTAACTTAATTCAGTCTGTCAGTTTTTTATGTCCTGTTTTCAAATCTTTGCCTATTCCAAATAACAAAGAGAATGTGTGCTTTGCATTTCATCTTTAGCTCTAATATTTTTCTAAAATTGTTCTTGTATGTGATTTAAGGAACAAGATGTATTCCTTCCCTTGCCACATATATTCATTGACCCAGTAATATTTATTGAAAATACCCTTTTGTTTCACACAATCTGCAATGTTTCCTTTGTCATAAATTAGATGGCTTAATGTGTGTTTCAGTATTTGGTTTCTGGACTCTATTTCTTGCAATTATATTTTTATCCATATTTGAAAGAATGGCTAATCTGTTTTTAAGGAAGTTACATAAATTGCCCATATGGATATCTTTAGGAATTGGAAAGATGAGGTTAAATCCATTATTTCACTAACGTACTGCTCTTGTACTGACTTGATCTTAGAGAAACCAAGAGGTCAAAAAAGCCTCAAAGATATTAAGTGAATTACAAAAATCAGTTCTGGAATCTAGATATTCTACCAAACTGGTGGAATTCCTACAACATTAGTTGACAATGTTTTTATGGAAAATTAGATACACCATTTCCTGTTTCTGGTAACTATAGGATTATTGGGAAGGTGTTTAATGTAAGCCAACTGGGTTGTTTGAGAAACTTGTTCACAAATTTCCTTTCATTCTAGTAAGTAGAAAGCTTACATAAATTTCTTGTTGCTTTAGAGTCTGCTAGCTAAATGATTATCTGCTGTTCTGATCAGCCTCAATCTCCCATTAATATTTATTTTGCTACCTGTTGGGCAGAGGCTACAATATCTCAAAGTTTTTTCTTTCATTCTTTTACCTTCATTTCTGGAAGTTGGGGAGGGTTGGAGAGTATTCTCTTGAGGGAGGGGTAGAAAGGATTCTGACTTCTTTATTGCCCAATAAGTTTTTAAGCACCATAGAGTTAACTCATAACCCTCTAATTCTATGAATTCTTTATTATTTATTCTCCACTATCAAGAAATTTTCTTTATTATTTGATAATTACAAGATTCTTTATGATCTAGCTCCTGGTCAAATGTATGGCTTATCACTTGCACCGTCCACACCAGTGAATTCTCACAGACTTGATTGTTTTGATTTCCATATTTTACATGTTAATTCTTCTCTCTAGAGTTTATTTTACAACTGTGTCTCCCTTACAACTTGTCTTCTTTCAAAACAAGTATCAAATATCTTCTCTTCAACATAGTCCTTCTTGACAATTCCTCCTTCAAACACCCACTACTAACAATGCACATCACTTCAATAAGCCTAGTGCTTATTTAAGACCTTTTTACATAATTCTAGTTACATTTACTGTGATTATTTATATGCATATTATTCTCTCCTTTAAATTCTAAGTCCCTTAAAGAGTGAAACTGTCAGATTTCCCATATTGTCACATTGTAGGTTCTCAACAAATATTTCTGAGAATTAAAGAGATTAATATTTAGTTAACTTGAAAATAAAGTTTTGATATAAGTACAGAATTTGAGATTAATTAATTAATTAATTTTGCTCTTGGATGAGAAATAAATTTGATGTGTGTCTAGAAATAAAAATATAAAATTGCATTTATATTGGCTCTTGTTAGAACCAATTAAAATAAGTTTCATTGTTAAACTTATAAAAATGTAAACCCAAAAGTTCAGAGATAACAGGTGAGAAAAATAATAAAAATTGGAGATGTCAGTATATTACTAAATGATAAATATTACTGGAGACACTAGTATAATCGAGGCAAAATATATCAATGCCTTTGATAAGAGATAACAGTATGCTACTTTTTTGCTTGTTTGTTTGTTTGTTTGTCTTTATGTTTGCCACAGACACCCAATAATCCAAAAGGACAATGATTGAAGATAAAACAGTGAGACTGGTAAAAGAACAGAATGAAAAAACGATTTGTTACCATCAATAGCATTATCATCTTAAGCAATGTTAGCATCTTTCTACTTATTACTGAAAGTTTCTTCTCGGTAGAAATTTAAAAGGATTTCTATAAATGTCTATAGATGAGGTACAGGACAAAAATGAGGTGTCTTAAATGTGAGAAGACTGAATCAAAAATTTTAGAGAATTTTGAGAGTCCAAGCCCTATAGAAGAATAAATAATTAAATATTTCCAAACTCTTAGAACAGTACCTTAGTAATCAAAAATAGTTATCAGCCATTGAGTAAAAATAAGAATAAAAAAAAATCATATCTGTTGAGTCATTGATGAGGTGATCAAAGAACACTTCTTTAAGGTCACATCAATAGAGAGATGCATATAGTTATTAACAGTTAAAAAAGCATTCTAAAAGAATTTCTTTTAGAGAAGTCATAACAGAGTTGCACTTTAATATGTCTATGAGGATGAGAATCTCTTTTTTAGATTGCAGTAAAATCATTGTCTGTGATGAGAACTTGAATTACTCAAAATGAATTTGTTGAATGAACAGATGAATTAATAAATAAGCAACAAATAAACAAAAAAGTTACTCCATGGCCCCTAGAAAATACGGTTGTTTGATTATTAAAATGGACTTCAAACTTTTTAAATGGGGGGGGTGAAGGGAGACACTAACCATAAACTATATTTTCTCTTCTCTTTTTCTTACTCTAGAAAAACCCACATAAAACCTAACTAATCATGCTAATATTGAATAAAACAGAACTGAACCCAGCCTCATTTATTCTTAATGGGATACCAGGACTGGAGGGCATGCACATGTGGATTTCCTTCCCATTCTGCTCCATGTATGTTGTGGCTATGGTAGGAAATTGTGGACTCCTCTACCTCATTCATTTTGAGGACTCTCTGCACAGGCCCATGTACTACTTCTTGGCCATGCTTTCCCTAACTGACCTTGTCATGTGCTCTAGTACAATCCCTAAAGCTCTCTGCATCTTCTGGTTTCATCTCAAGGAAATTGGCTTTGAAGAATGCTTAGTTCAGATGTTCTTCATCCATACCTTCACAGGAATGGAATCTGGGGTTCTTATGCTCATGGCCCTCGACCGCTATGTGGCCATCTGCTACCCTCTGCGTTACTCAACTATCCTCACCAATCCCATCATTGCAAAGGTTGGGTTTGCTACTTTCCTGAGAGGGGTGTTGCTCATCATTCCCTTCACTTTTCTCACCAAGCGCCTTCCCTATTGCAGAGGCAATATAATACACCATACCTACTGTGACCACATGTCTGTAGCCAAGTTATCTTGTGGAAATATCAAGGCCAATGCCATCTATGGTCTGATGGTTGCCCTCCTCATTGGAGGCTTTGACATCCTGTGCATCACAGTCTCCTACACCATGATTCTTCGGGCAGTGGTCAGCCTCTCCTCGGCAGATGCTCGGCAGAAGGCCTTCAGCACCTGCACTGCCCACATCTGTGCCATTGTTTTCTCCTACAGCCCAGCTTTCTTCTCCTTCTTTTCCCACCGCTTTGGAGGCTACACAATCCCTCCATCTTGCCATATCATTGTGGCCAATATTTATCTGCTCCTACCTCCAACTATGAACCCTATAGTCTATGGTGTGAAAACCAAGCAGATACGAGACAATGTCATAAGAATCCTTTCAGGTTCTAAGAATACCAAATCCCGTAGTATATGAAAAGAATATTTTCCAGAAGAAAGAAGAGCTCTTGTTTAGAAAGGATCTGATAAAATCACTAGGAAAGTACTATTTTAACTAAAGAAATGGAGCATGTTCAATGGTGCATTTCTAAATCTATGTCTCAAGAATCTGGGCATCCCTGGTCTGCTCACCAACTTTTTTATGAATTTTTTGGTTTCATTGCTCCTGTGAAAATTTAGTCTAATAGTTAACCCATGTTTCCTTGAACAAAACTTAACCCATATTCATTTAAAAATACATAAAGTGGAAGGAGATAATCTTGTTTCCTAACAGTAATTATAATTTCCAGACTGAGAGCCAGTTGTTACTCCCCCTTGGAAAATATATGCTGTATGTTTTTAATCACTACAAAAACACCATTTTTTCAATAACTTCTTCCTGAAAGAGAAGTTAGCAAGAATCCTATGAAGTGATTAACATAATGAATTTTAAATCTCTGGGCATCCTAGAGAATCTTATTATTAGGCTGAATAGTTCTCTCCTCATCAGGCCACACACATTATTTTACTACAGACTGATTTGATACCCAGTTTCTTTCAAGAGAGTCTTTGAAAGCACAAAATCTGGCAAGTGAGGTAGATAGTTCTCTTAAAGAAATGTAAGAAACAGCATAAAACTGCATGGAAGTGATCAAAATTGACTTGTTTCATCTTATCTCCAATGTGAATCTAACAAATAAAATTAAATGTCTTTCTAATATTTAAGATTCTTCTAAATAATCAAGTGAGAGACTGAAGGAAATAAGACTTTTATATTAATGTCTCACTAGTGAAGCCAATTATAGAAGGAATATAAAGTAAACTGAATGTTTATTGTTATCGCTCTCCATCCAACATAAAAGTATACATATTGTTTCCCCCATCCAGTTAATTATGCTCATCAAATTGCATTTAATTGTTTAATTAGTCTTTATTTACTATCTCATATTTTTAAATCCTACAAAAAAACTCACTCCCTAATATGTAATACCTTCCATGTATTACTCTATTTCTCTGCTCACCTTAAACTCAAAATTTCTAAAGTAAAGGTTGGTTCCTAAACTAGTTTCTGTATACAGAAGGCAATGAGAGACAAAAGAAGAAGGCAGACCACTCCAGTGTGGTAGGTACCATGTTTAGTAAACAGGAGAACTTACATATGAGGTTTGACTTAGGTGGCTGCATCTGCTACCCACCCTCACCCCCACCCAGAATAGTTAAAGCTTACTAAGAGCCTTAACTGGGTTCAGTTTGTATACCATCCAGATGTTCTCAACAAAACATTGATAGCTCTCTTAAGACTGTGTCCTTGAAAACAACTCCAGCTGTGGGAACAGTGGCAGAGGGTACATTCCAAGGGAAGGGGAACAGTTGAGGAGCCTCTGATAATAATATGCTACAATATATAATAATAATGTATATTGTATATAACAAAATTGTACACTGCTAATGAAAGACCGTTTTTAATATCCAGTTAAATGGAAAAATACACAATATTCATGGATGAGAAGATATCAACTCTCCCCAAAGTGGTACATAGATGTAATGAAAGTCCTGTAAAATCCCAGCAAGATTTTTTGTTGATGTAGACAAGATTATTCTGAAATTTATTCGGAACATCAAAAGAACTATAATAGCTAAAACAATTAAAAATACATAATGAAATGAGTAAACATTCTTTGCAAACTTAAGACCTATGTACAGCTACAGTAATCAAGACTATAGTATTGGCAGAATTTAGGCACACACATCAATGGAACAGAATAGAGAACCTAAAAACAGACCCCCACAAATATGTGCAAGTGATTTTTGACAAATATACAAAAGCAATTTAATAAAGAAAATGTATCCTTTAAAAAAAAAAGGCTTTTGGAATAGGCAAACAGAAACAAAAATAAAACAAGCTCTTGATTTAAATTCTTGATTTTACCTTATACTAAAATTAACTCAAAATTATGGGTCATAAACTTAAATGTAAAATTTAAAGCTTTAAAACATTTAGAAAAACAATGGGATAAATCTTTAAGATTCAGCACAAAGTAGAGTTCTTAAACTTGACACCAAAACACAATTCATTAAAAAAGATAAAGGAAATTTATCTTTAGTGGTGAACACACAATAGAATATACATATGATGTATCATTGAATTGTACACTTGAAACCTATATAATTTTATTAACCAATGTCGCCCTTATAAATTCAATTAAAAATAAACAAATAAAATAATAAAAAATGAAAATTTAAACCACATTAAAAAACTTGCTTTGTTGAAGACTCTACTAAGAGGATGAAAAGACAAGCTATAAACCTAGAAAAAAAATAACTGCAAGACAAATCCAACACCCGCACCCACACACCAGTAAAACAACAACAACAACAACAACAAACCATCAATTAGAAAATGTACAAAAATTAAAAGAGAAATTTCACTGATAAAGCATACAAATGCAAAATAAACACAAAAAAAGTTCATCTTATTAGCCATGTACAAATGCAAATTAAAATCGGAATAGAGTATTACTACACTGCAATGACAATGGATAAAATAAAACTGAGTAACAACACAAAATTTTAGCAAGGATGTGGAGAAACTGAATCACTAATATATTACTGGTGGGAGTATAAAATGGTACAACCATTCTGGAAAATATTTTGCCAGTTTCTTAAAACACAAACCTGACCTATCATACAATTTAGCAGTTACACTTTGAAGCATTTATTCTAGAAAAATGAAAACTCATGTTCACAAAAAAATAGTAAACAGTGAGTGACATAAATGAAAACGGCAAACTAAGGATATTAAAAGTTGCCCTAATAAAAGCAATGGATAAACTGTGAAAAAAAAACCCTATTTAAATCAACTTTCTCATAACTTTTGATACGATCAAAAGTTTTCAGTAAACAGAGGAATGTTTAATCAAGAACAAATAGCTGAATCTCAGTAAAAGAGCTTTGTAGCATATTTTTAAATTGGAAGTCACATAATATAAAATTGACCATTTTAATTGTTTTTGTACAAATCAGTGTCTTTTAGTATATTCACAATGCTGTGCAACCAATCACCACTATTTCCAGAACATTTTAATCATACTCTCAAAAAATTCCATACATTTTAAATAGTCATCCCCATTCCCTGCACAGTTGCCTATTCTTAATATTTTATATAAATAGAATAATACGTGACTGTTTATCTTTGGGTTCTTTGACCTAACATCAAGTTTTCAAGGTTCATGTTATGTGATTTTTTTTCATAGTTCCTACCCTGACTTGGGAAGGACTAAGTACTCAGGGATGTTATTTATTTAGATACATGAAAAAATAAACAAATAAAAAAGAAATAGATGGATGTGTGAATGACTGAAACATTTTGTATTTAAGTGCTTTCACCATGTGTCCAAAAAGGCCTTACACAGAAAGAAACAATGTTCTGCAATAAATATTAAAATCACTCATTTTCATTAAAACTAGTTTGCGTTCTTTTAATTTCATTTCTTTCCATTAAATACATGCTCACACACATATATAGATGCATGCATATGAAATAATTCACTTATTTCTAGTATTATGAGATAGCAGTCAAAATGTAGCTTCAATGCTTTTTCCTCCTTCCATAGAGGTTAGCTGGATTGCTGCACAAGCACCTGTGTCTCTAATGTTTTGAAGTATCCCCTTGGAATACATAACACATTTTTCTTAAATAACGAATTCAATTGTACAGATGTCATGGGATTTAGAAGTTGAGGAACTATACATATAAATATATTGCAGAATCATGATTTTTTCCACCAAGATCCTGAACACCTGAACCAGATTGCATTCAGCTCACTGTTTTGCTATCAAGAAACTAAGGCATTAAAGATATACAAAAATGAAACTACTAACAGAACTTTTTTTTTAGGTAGAGGTTTTGAATACATAGAATTGTTTATTATATTCTCTGAAATACAGATTTGAGTTCGTTCACCATGTTTGAAAGCAAACATGGTGGGAAATTGGGAAGTTAGAGAATGCTTATTTCTCCAATTTTCAGCTCACGATTCAGTTTCACTTTTCATCATGATTGTGAATATCTATGTCATTTCTCTAACCAAACAGGAATCATTGGTTCTGCTGTAGTGGAAGTTTGGTATGAATCACCCTCATGACAAGAAGAAATGGGAGAATAGCTAGAGCATAGTTCTCAATTATGATCAAAACACCTGCTTTTTACCTGCCTTCCTTTATTTCTCAGAATGAGAGTTTAATTTTTCTTGGTTCATTTCTAGAGAGACTCAGTTAAGACTGTATTTCAACCATTTTAGATGACAACACTGGAAAGACTCACTGTCATATGGAGAGAAGACTGTGGGTTTTAAAAACTGAGGACAGTTGAATAAAAAAACAAACTTATTGTCTATGGTGTTTGGGAATGAGAATAGATAATAGATGATGTCAAATTTGCACTTTATAAATGATGACATTCACGTGTTAATATTACTATTTCAATATATACTTGTTCATACCCATAGCATAATATTAATTTTCCTTACAAGAAAAATTAAATTATGATATATTGAAATTATTTTCAATTTGTTTTGGAAAATTTCTTATTTGTTTATGGCTAATGTGATTTACCTTGGTATAAGTATGGATCTCTAACTGATAGATTTTCAAACGTTTTGAAGATGAGACCTAAAATTATGTGTAACGAGAAAGTCAGTTTTAGTAAGTAAAGATATATCTACAAAAAGAAAACATAAAAAATATAAATAGGGTATTTGTCACATGTTTACAAAAGATATTCTTCAGAATACAGCACAAGTAACCTCAGAAATTTGTTGCCTATTGTTAAGTTATAGATCCCTATACTTTTAATAATTTACCTACTTGCTTCTGTTGCATGAATACATAAAGAGTGAACTCTCTGAATACATTAAGGAGAAATAAGTATTGATTTTTCTCAGCACTTTATTACAATTCATCAATATTTATCAAAAATATAATTTAATGTCTTTATTTCAATGGTAATCAAGTATATGATTTTTGTAACCTTTTGTTTATTTTAATGATATCTGTGAAAGTGATTGGAAAAATATTATGTTGTATTGAAACATAAAGTACACATTTACAAGTCTTACAGAAAGAAGATTGGTGGCAATTTTAGTATTCTTTTATTGTAAATACACAGTATTATTGTTTCCCAAAATGCAAATTGTAATGCTTTTGTTAGCCTTGTATTATTTGTTGAAGGCCTCACCAATGACATTAAAATAAGAAATTTAGAATCAGCTAATATGCTGTGATATAATTTAAGTGATTGCCCATTTTTAAAACTTCTGGGTACAAAGTGAGCAAGAGAATTATTTCAGTAATTTCTAATGTTATGGTTGTGAAGAAATCTTACCAAATGATTTAAAGATGAAACAATTCGGTATGCCAACTTTAATTGCACTCTGTCAAGACTTTCTTTTATTTTTCTCAAAAGTGATCTTTATCCAGCATTTTCTTGCTTTTATTTTGCCTTGTCTGAAATTAATCTTTCCTCCAAAATTTTTGGTATGTTTTCTGTTTATCAAAAATATCTTTGTGCAAACTTTGAGTGTGGTCTTCTTTCTGATAAACCCCCTTTAAAAATACATGTATTTTTAGAAAATCACTCTGAATTAATAACAACTTGTAGTTTCAATTTAAATAATTGATCTTTATTTGCAAAACCAATATATTTATTTTGCCTAGCACATTATTTTTTTTCTTTATTCTCAGTATTTCCTTTTTTTCCACTTAAGATTTTTTAAATTAAATTTATTGGGGTGACATTGGTTAATGAAATATTATATAGGTTTAAAGTGTACAATTCAATAATATGTCAATGTATATTACATCATGTGTTCACTACTCAAAGTTAAATTTTCTTTCATTACTGTATATTTTACCCACTTTACCCTTATCTACCTTCTCCCAACTCCTTCCCTTTCATAACCACTAAATTGTTATCTGTTTTGATGAGTTTTTATTTATCTTGTTCATTTGTTGCTTTCAGTTTTACATCACACATATAAGTGAAATTTTTTCCGTCTGATTTACTTCACTTATATAATCTCAAGATCTATTCATTGTTATGTAAATAGAAGTATTTCATCTTTTCTTGTGGCTGAGTAATATTCCATTGTATATATGTACCACCTCTTCTTCATCAAATCATCTATCGAGGTTGTTTCCATGTCATGCCACTGTGAATAGTGCTCTGAATGAACATTGGAGTGCATATATTTTTATGGATGAATGTTTTCAAATTTTTTGTGTAGATACCAGAAGAGGGATTGCTGGGTCATATGGTCATAAGAATAAGAATTCTATTCTTAATTTCTTAAGGACCCTCCACATTGTTTTCCATAGTGGCTGTACCAATTTACATTTCCACCAGCATTGTATAAGGGTTCCTTTTTCCCCACAACTTTTCCAACACTTGTTATTACTTGTCCATCAACAGGGCATGATTTTTTTTTTTAATTTATGATTTCTGGTGATTTATGAGGTAGACATTATGGTTTTGTTCCTTCCGCTTGATCTTTTTTGCTAAGTAATAATATTTAGACTACAACATTTGATTTAATAATACTTAAAGTCAAGTATAAACTACTGTTTGTTAATTTATTAATGTTTATTCATTCAAAAATATTATGTGACATCTAATATGTACTAAGTGTCTTGCTATACACTGCAGGTATAAAATACAATCTGTCCTAATAAAGGGTTTTATTAAATTGTGGATGATTCAAGAATATAATAAAATTTTTAAAATACCATGATGTTTAAATGGTGTAAGAAATTGATTAGCAAATCTATTGCTAATCAAAGAAATTGATTAGCAAATCTATTTCTTACTTATAAGCCTGGTACTTTGCTAATTATATTATATTCAGAAGCTTTAGAAGTTTGTTCTCTAAAATGTCTATGAGAGAGCTGAGTCTTCCTGAAATACATTGTATCAGATGCTACTTTGGGGGGAACAGAAAAAGGATAGAGAGCTGCAAAATCACCGAAGCTGAAAATATCAGTAACAACTTGAGCAAGAAATAGCGAACAGCAACATGAAAGAACAGCCCATTTTGATCTGTCAGAAACCTAAGCATGTTTCAGGTTTAAGAGCGATTGTCTCTTTTTCCCAGAAATTTTCCCTGATAACCTTCAGAGTTTACTTAGTTGTCATTTCTTTCTGCACATATATGACCCTAAGGTTTTTGTACTGGCATAAGAAGAGATCTTTGAAGGGCTTACTATGAACATATTCATCCTATGTAGCTTTATTATTTCCAAAAAAAAGATGCCTTTTGTGGTATCTAACCTATCATCCTTTGGTATAAATACATAAAGATAAAACATACATGCAGGTAGACAAAATGAATAAGGGACAATTTTATATCTTTATTTCATCCACTATTCTAAACAATGTTCACTATCCTCTTATGATAACTGAAAGTGTATTTTGGGAAGAAACTTTAATTAATATTATGAATATGTACGTATCTGGTGTGATGAAAGCCAAAGATGAGGATTCATAAAAAATAGGAGTTTTGAATCCAATATTCTTATTTAAATGTGAGATTTAATGTGGGTTTTAAAAATTAAGGACAGTTGAATAAGAAAAGAAACGTATTGTCTATGGACTTTGGGGATAAGAATAAACAACAGATGATGTCAAATTTGTACTTTCTACTACTTAACTCCAAAACAGTGGCAGCTAGTCATATAGTCCTCCAGGATGAGGTTAGTTGATTTTTTTTAAAGAAAAATTGGTATTCCTGAGGAAAAAAAACCCATGAACATTGATAGCAAAGAATGTCTACAATGAAGCAGAAGCCCCTAGTTGAATACTCTAAGTAAAACTTACCAACTGATATGATTCACTCATAACCAAGAGTTTCAAATCAGCTTTTTAAAGACTCTTTCAGAAGTGTGAAGTAATAGTCAAAGGTTTTCAGATATTTGAGAAACTCTTCCAAAGTAAAAGTTAAAAACCTATAAAAAAATTGAAACAGATAATATAGGAATAATATATAAAGCATATAATAATATATATTATGTTACTATTATCAATATATTATATATAGTTTATATTTATATAATTACATATATACATATGTTGTATGTAGACATACAGCATATATACAATTATACATACTATAATTATATATATATTGTTGTTAATATATTATTAGATTTACAGGATTCAGAGGAAAATATGATCTTGAAAATTTGTAATATTAGACAACAAAAAAAGGCAAGATATTGGGGGAGATATAGTTTAGGAATTTTCTTTAAGAAAATGGATCGAAAAAAGACAGATGTAATATAAAATAATTTTTTTAAAGAAAAGAACAGAATAAGTCCAGATGATCCATTATCTGACTAAAAGTAATTGTAGTAAAATAACAAGGGCACAATTGGGAAGAAATTATCAAAAGCTAATACAAGAAAATTTCCAAAACCAATGGTCATAGATTTCTAGCCCTCAAGGCACCTACACAATAAAAGACATACATGTACACATATACAGCTATCATCACCATTATCACCATTAAGTTTGAAAGCATGGAAATTAAAAATGTTCTTAAATGTTTCAGGGACAAAAATAAATAAAGAAAAAAAGCAAAAGAAGAACAGTTCATATAAAAAGTTCAAAATCAAAATGATCCTCTTACTATCTATACATGAAGATCAGAGAAAATGTTTGAGATTCAAACATAAGTAGCTTCATCTACATAGGGCTTCCATTCATTCAATTATAAAATGCAGATTAATAAAAACACTTCCTGGGCTTATAGTGAAGATTAACTGACTTAAAACTTATAAAAGTCTTAGACTGTACCCAGTACACAGTAAGCATAACTAAGAATAGGAACAATACTAAATACATCCTGTTATCTGTTGTGTCATTGATGAGGTAATCAATGTGCTTTACTTTAACAAAACACGCGAAGAGAGTTATGTATAGTAACTAACATTTAAAAAGATATTATAACAAATGTCAATCGAAAAGATCATAACATAATTACACCTGATTATAAATTTATGAGGTTTGTATCTATGTCTTTTAGTTTTAAAAGAATGTAGACACAATATCTGTGATAGAATCTGGCCAATAGTAGGTGCAATTAAACTCATTTAATTGAATGAGTTTATAAATTAAGGCATACTTGGTTTAAATTATGCTTAAATAAACATTTCCTGGCATTTAAAATGATTTTTTCTTTGATAAAAATGCAATATTTAACATGGTTGAGAAAGAGAGAAAGAGAGAGACCACAATTGAGTTTCTTTTCTTTTTGTATTTTTCCAAATCTAGGAGGGTCAAAAATGAAACAAAACAAAAATACTACTAAAACTATACAAGCTTATTAATAGTTATACCAAACTAATCATGATAATTATGAACCAAACATATGTGACACCAGCCTTATTTATTCTTAATAGGATCCCAGGACTGGAAGGCACACGCATGTGGATTTCTTTCCCATTCTGCTCCATGTATGTTGTGGCCATGGCAGGAAATTTTGGATTTCTCTACTCCATCTGCTAAGAGGACTCCCTGTACAGGTCCATGTATTACTTCTTGGCTATGTTTTCCCTAACTGACCTTGTCATGTGCTCTAGTACAATCTCTAAAGCTCTCTGCATCTTCTGGTTTCATCTCAAGGAAATTGGCTTCGAAGAATGCTTAGTTCAGATGTTCTTCATCCATACCTTCACAAGAATGGAATCTGGGGTTCTTATGCTCATGGCCCTCGACCGCTATGTGGCCATCTGCTACTCTCTGCATTACTCAACTATCCTCATCAATCCCATCATTGCAAAGGTTGGGCTTGCTACTTTCCTGAGAGCGGTGTTGCTCATCATTCCCTTTATCTTCATCACCAAAAGACTACCCTATTATAGAAGCAATGCAATACACCATACATACTGTGACCACATGTCTGTTGCCAAGTTATCTTGTGGAAATATCAAGGCCAATGTTATCTATAGTCTGATAGCTGCCTTCTTGATCAGGGACTTTGATATCCTGTGCATCACAATCTCTTATACCGTGATCCTCCAGGCAGTAATCAGCCTCTCCTCAGCTGACACTCCACAGAAGGCCTTCAGCACCTGCACTGCCTACATCTGTGCCATTGTTTTCTCCTACAGCCCAGCTTTCTTCTGTTTCTTTTTTAATCACTTTGGGAGTCATACAGTTCCTGCATCTTGCCACATTATTGCGGCCAATATTTATCTGCTACCTCTCACTATGAACCCTATAGTCTATGGGCTGAAAACCAAGCAGATATGAGACTGTGTCATAAGGATCTTCTCAGGTTCTAAAGATACCAAAACCTATAGCACATGAAAGGGAAATTTTTGAGGGAAGAGAAGAAAAGTGAAGGGGAAGAGGAGAGAAAGGAAAGAAAGGGAAGGGAATCATAGAAGAAAGGGAATCTAGGGGACGAAATAGAAAGAAAGGGACACTTCTGTTGACTATGTAGTCAGGGTCTCATAATGCCTTCCTAGAGTACTGTTTGGGCCATGACAAGGGAGGGCATTGAGTGGTGCAGTCTTATTTAGTATCTTCAGAATCTCATCAGCGGCATGCTCACAGTCCTTTCTATGATTTTTCATCTCCTCACGCTGTGAAGGACTGATCTCATCATTAACCAAAGTTTTCATGAACAAAACATAATGGGGTGCTGAGACAATGGAGGGAAGTTAAATCAGCTTTGACGAATGCCTGGAAGGAGATTGCATACAATTTGCTGCCAGTTTGTCCAATTTCCAAATAGTGATTGGAATTTCCAGTTTGAAGGATATCGTTACTTTTCTTTGGAGAATAAATTCTATATTTTTCTCATTATTATCAAAAATTTTCTATTTTCTTAATGTTGTCTTCCTGATGAAGAAGCTATAAAATATCTATGAGGTTATTAGTTTGATGAAGTTTTAGACTCTGTATTTCTAATTTGGAAATGTTAGTCACCTGAT